CCTCCAGTGGAAATCCTCCCTGGGTTGGGTTTCGTTTCTTTTCTTGTGCATCATTAGGAAACGTTCCTTTTCTCCTTGGATCATCTGACTGAAGCTTTAGGAAATGGAATTCCTCCGGTGGGGTGCACGTATTACAACTGTGCCACGATAAAACTTAGTCTTGAAATCGGGAAATATGAAAAAGGAACCCAAGTGCATGTCATCTCAATAAATTTATTATTATTATTATTATTGCACTATCCATTGGGGTGGGGGGGGAACAGGAAGAAATCTCCGTCAGGACGTGAAACAAGCTCACTGATGCAAGCAGAAGCAAGCTGCAAACAACATTTCAAATCCCTAAACTATGTAGCGCTTAAAGGACAGCCCCCTCTCCCCAAAGGGACCATAAACACAGAAACCACAAGGGGCAGGGGAGGGAGGGGGACTAGAAGAACCACCAGGGGCGGGTGTTCGTAAACAGTAACTATGGAGAAAAAAAAAACCATTTCAGTCCCTAAATTATTTCTGAAACCACACTCCACTGGATTACAATGTTGCAATGTCAAAAAGGGAAACTTTCCCAGGGTTGAGTCGATGTTTAACCCAGAGTGATTGGAGCACAGTTAACCACCACCCACAACAACCAGGGGACAATGGGAAGCCAGAGACACAGCAGCTCCACCCTTCAAAAGTGGGGTGTGTATGTGTGTGTGTGTGTGTGTGTGTGTGTGTGTGTGTGTGTGTGTGTCTCCCCAGCCATCAGCAGCCCCCATCATTTTAAGTGTAGCCTGTGTGTTCTTGTAGAGTTTAAGGCTGGAAATATGGATACCCACGTGGCTGCTGGAGCTGGTAGAGCAAGTGCATGATTCATCTGGGTCCAAAACGTTCAGAGGACATATTCCCAGGGCTGAAGAACAAAGTGCCTCACGCTAAACAGTGCAGGGGGCACGCAGGGCACACTGGGCTCTGCTGACCCCTTTTCTCTCCAGGGTGTGGTGGTCTCCCTGGTATCTCTGACTTGTCTGGAGAACCAGCTCCTACAAATACTAGTCTCTGCTGAGCCCACAAGTGAGCCGTCTCAGAACACAGACCCGCTGGCATTGCTTCTGTTGAATGGACTCTGAATGAAGATCACATTGTAACACTGAATAAAGACCACATTATATACCAAGTGAGAAACAATGATGAATTATTAATCAGCAGATCGCAGGTGATAGATAACACACAAAACACCCACGGCTCCAGGTGGAAACCCCTCCGCCTGTCTCAGCCTCCTGTTAGGGGCGTCTCTGTTCCTCTCCATCCACCCCTCCCTTCTCTCCCCCACCACGTGGCAACCCAAACTCTGAGTCTTTTTAACTCAAGCCAGTGCATTAGTAGTGTCTTAGTCTTTGTGGCATAGTGGTTAGACGTTGGGCTGCTAACTGCAAGGTCAGCAGTTTGAAACCACCAGTAGCTCTCTCCAGGAGAAAGGCAACGCTTTCTATTCCCATAAAGACTTAGTCTCAGAAACCCACAATGACAGTTCCATCCTGTCCTATAGTGTTGTAGAGTGTGTGTGTGTGTGTGTGTGTGTGTGTGTGTGTGTGTGTGAGAGAGAGAGAGAGAGAGAGAGAGAGAAGAGAGAGAGAGAGATTTAGTTATGAGAGAGAGTGAGAGATTTAGTTATGTTTCAAAGACACCTGTGGGTGGTACAAATGGTTAAGCCTCTCAGCTGGAAGCAAAAAGGTTAAATTTTCGAGTGCACCCCAAGGTGCCTCGTGAGAAAAGCCTGGCTATTCACTTCCAAAACATGGGCCACTGAAAACCCCAGGGAGCTCATTTCTACTCTGATGCTCATGGGGTTGCTATGAGTCTGTGGCCTGGACACGTGACTCTATAAGCATGGCGGCCAAAGACATCTTGAGCCACTTATCCTAGTGGGATCAATGAAAGGATAAGGGCTTTTATGTTTCCTCCCATGAGAATTCCAATCAGTTTTACATTTCACAGATCAAAAGGAATGCATACTGCTGAAAGTCAAGTTACTTTTTGCATGCATCCACGTCACTGCTCTCTCCCTCGGAGACTCAGGGGCCCCGACAGTGGACTGACTAGTTTTCTGTAGAAGCAGTTATGCCACCAAGACAGAGAGGCAAAAATGAAGCTTGCCATAATTCTAAAGCAAATGATAATGTGTAAGAAACTTCAAAATAGTTACGTTTGCATGTATAGTTTACATGGATGAGGGTCAGCCAGAAACCACTTCTCTTAGGGCTCCCGTTCCTATCGGCAGGGGTTTCCCCCAAAGAAGATGGGTGAAGACCCGTCTCTGCAGTAGATGGCGCCCAGCAGGTCCTGTCAGTAAGGTACTTGCATTGGTCTCATTCTGGTGGCTTCAAAATGAGATCCGATCAAGAGTGGCTTCCAAGTGCATCTGCTGGGCCACCCAGCCGTCAGCTCTGAATATTATGGAGACTTTTTTTAAAGGGGGGAGAAGGGAGATCGGGATCCTAAAAAGATACTTATAAAACAATTATTATTACTAGTATTGTTTTATTTTTATTTTTTGAAATCATTTTATTGGGGCTCTTACAGCTCTTATAACAATCCATACATCAAGTGTCTCAAGCGTATTTGTACATATGTTGCCATCATCATTTTCTAAACACTTACTTTCTATTTGAGCCCTAAAAGGTACTTTTGATATTCTGCCTGCAACATGCTTCCCGCTCGTCCTGGTCATCCCACAGATCTCGATTTGGCTGTCACTTCCTCCAGGAAGCCTTCCCTGCTCCTGCTCCTGCACATCTGAGTTAGAGCCCCTCGGAGATCTCCTGGGGTGGCCTGTTGGCTCTATCTTCCACCTGTGTGGAGGTGTCTATGAAGCAAGGGGCTGGCCTATCCTCTTCACCGCACCTCAGAGACCATCACAATGGCAGGTGCTCCATAAATGTGTTCCTGCGTGCTCAAGGCTAACGGGGCTCCTTCCTTTGCCCCGATCTCGTCAGGCAAATGCCTTCCACCTACGGCATGCCTGTAAATCTTTTCCGACTCTAGTGAAGCAGAACCGCTCCCACCGTATTTTCCAGGCGGCAATCTTCTGGAGAAGCAGACCACCAGGGCCTGCTGCCTGAGGGGTTCAAACGGCCAACCTGGGTTCCTGGCCGGAGCTCAACCGTCACACCACCAGGGCCCTTAGGGAGCTGGAATGGACATTCCTTACCTTGATTTTACGGCCTTCTGAATATTTCAGTGGTATCACACACCACGTGAAGGTGACTCACCGGCCAGGTCTGGGGTTCTTTGTAACAGATCTTTGCAACCAAATGGCTAAGACAGGGAACAACACCGAACACCACTTACTCTCACTCCTAGATGGGCACAGCCAGAGGCACGTGGAAACAAGTGGAGGGAAAACCTTTCTGATGAATAATGCTTCCCCGCAGAAGTCACGGGTACTGAGTCAGTCACAAAGCAAATGGCTTCTTCAGATAAAAATAGAGGATTCTGTCATCCACAGTGGACTGCCACCCTGTCAGTGAGCCAAGTGATTCAGTATCGGGTCATCCCAAAGTTGACTAGAGTGTGCCAAAGAATTAAAACAAGATGAAGTGACACTGAAAAGAAAAAGGCACCGTGTCCATTTCGGCGGATAAGTCTCAAGACCCTACGACCTGTCCCTCTGACCCTATCGTTCACTGGACTTATTCTGCCAGCCTGCCAAGTTCACCGGTGACCTACAAAGGGCCAAGTCTCCGCAGTCCTCATCTGCTGACCTAGAGGAGTGCTCGACCCAGCTGATTGCTCCCTTCTCCTGGACACACTTTCTTCACGTGCCTCAGGGCACCACCTGCTCCTCGGTCTCCTCCTACCTGACTCAGCAACCTTTGCTGGCTACTCATCCCCCAGCCTTCAAAACACCTGGATGGCCCAGATGGCCTCTCTTCTGATCTGTAGATCTTAACCAGCTCCTCCCACACTCCTCCACACCTGAGCAGGGAGCCCCTCTACATTTCCAACTCCTCAGCTGACAAGTGCCAGGTGGGTCCTCTCAACCTGACATCCAAGCCCTCAGAAATGCAACTGGCGCTTCAGCACACCCAGAGCCAGGTCACCTGGTGCCAGCAACCATCATCCTTCAGGGTCTGTTTATTCTGAACAGGTTTCCTTGGCCGGCCCCTGTCCTCTCCCGCTCTACAGCCACGGAATCTGTAAGTGGAGATCTGCTCGGGCACGTGCTCTGTCTGATGGATTGAATTGTGTCAAAAATGCACACTGATAATCCTCATCGGTGTGCCTGTGGGACAATCCCATTTGGAAAAGGGTTGCCTTTGTCAAATTACCAAGGCAGGATGAGGGTAGGGTCTATCTTGGGTCAGTCTCCTCCTCTGGAGTCTAAGGTGACCAGACGTCCTGCTTTTGGCGGGACAGTCCCGTTTTTTTGGCATTTTAAAACTGTCTCTATTGTTTGAAAGAATGCACGACAAGCTAGGGAACGGTCTGTTTGGTCCATATAGACCAAATTTTTCATCAAGAACCCCCCTCCCGCCCAGTCAATGGTGTCCTGCTTTAAATCTGGTCACAGTAGTTCACCCAACCCAAACTCAGTGCCACAAGGCAAGGCCGACTCACAGCGACCCTACAGGGCAGGATAGAACTGTCCCTGTGGTTTACTGTGGACTCTAACTCTTTGCGGGAATAGCGAGCCCCATCTCTCTCTTGTGGAGCAGCTGGGGTTTCCAACGTTGCAGTTAGCAGCCCAACTCGTAACCATTAGGCCACCAGGGCACTATGGGGTACAAAGGAGATTAAGCACAAGCTAGCAAGGTGAGAGGGAGAAACAAGATGCGAAGCCACGTGAAGATCGCCAATACCACCACCCCTGCAGAAGTCCTGGGGTGCTGCATAGCGTAATGCAGTCAGCTGCTAACCAAAGGGCTGGAGGTTCAAGTCCCCACAGAGGCACCTCAGAAGGCAGGCCTGCTGACCGGCTCCCGAGCACTCTGACACTGGACGTCCTCTGGTGCACAGCTCACCAGTGGCACCGCACGGCTGGCAGGGAGTTGAAAGAGTCTTGAGTCGAGGGTAGACGCCTCACGAGAGCGTCTACTTCAGAAAGGCACCGCTGTCTCCTCTATTTACTGCTGTCTTCTCTGCTCTTCCAGCAGTGGCTGGCACGTCGCAGACACTCCATCCGTCCTTGTTGAATGAAAACGCGGTCAACAGCAGCCTTCTCCAGACTGAGAAGAAATGGCAGTGAACAAGGCATGACCAGGCTGAGGGGGCACAGAGCTGGAGCTGTAGGGACCCTGCTGTGTGCCCATGACATTGTGCTTCTCCTCCAACTCCATCACCGGAGGCAGAATGAACGCGAGAGGGAAGGGACATTGCAGGCCATCAAGTAAATGAGGTTAGTGTCCAAAAACCAAACAAAATGCCAGTGGCGCAGAGCTCCAAGGAAGGAAGGTGTGAACAGACAAAATCTCAACCGTGTTCTGACCCAGGGGTTCTCAACCTGTGGGTCGTGACCCCTTTGGGGGTCAAAAGGACCCTTTCACAGGGGTCGCCCAATTCATAACAGTAGCAAAATGACAGTGATGAAGTAGCAACAAAAAGAATTTTATGGTTGGGGGGGTCACCACCACATGAGGAACTGTATGAAAGGGTAGCGGCATTAGGAAGGTTGAGAACTGGTTAATCTAACTGATCTATTAAGTATCTGGTAACTGTACTAGAGAGGAATCACAGAAGAAATCATGTTTCCTTCGAAGGGTGGGGCGGATCAACGCTGGATGAGAAGACGGGCCTTCCACCCCCCTGGCTCACTTCTCATTGTTCCTTCCATCCACCTGCCTGCTGTGGCAGCCCATCCCGAGACACCGGCCACAGGTAACCAGCTCACCCACCTGCAGAGCAGGCATGCCAGTGTGTCATCCAGAACTGCTTGTCTTGGGAAGCACTGGGCAAGGCTTAGGGGATCACACCAAGGTGCTCTGTGCCTTGATCCACACGGCTTCCTCATCTCCCCGCTGGCACGCTGTCCCGCAGGACCCCAGCCCTCCTGCGAGGGCTCAGCCCCCCACCTGCAGAGATCATGGTGGGTCTTGTGCCCATGTGGACCGCATCACTTCACACCATGTTCCAAGGCCTGCGACTCAGCTTGCATAATCCTATTTTCACACATTCCATGTGCCAGGCTGCATGCTACTTACACCCCGTTCTCACACAACCATCTAGGGCAGCCAGAAGAGAGGGGTGCTGGGTTTCCTTCAGCATCTGGATCATGCAGAGGTATTATGCCCAAAGCATCACCTACAAACTAGGACCGCTTTTGAGGTTAGATGTCACAGGGGCAATGCAAATGAGGGAAAGGGCAGTGAGGTGGCTGGATGAATGAGAGCTGGTTGGCAACAACACACCACTTATAAGGTATGCTCACTTTCAACACCCACAACACAGGGCCTCCCGAGTCAACACGCGGTGCGGAACTGCCTTGCAGCCGCGTCTAACAGCGGCCCCTGCACCATGATGCATTCCACCTCTCCCCTCGCACTAGGGACTCTGCTCCAGCTCCTTGCACCAGTTTGAATGCAGGGCTCCCAGACTCTAGTGGGCCTAGGAGTCACCACCAATAGTTTTTCTGTGGATTGCAGGCCACAGAAACACGAGGGGACAGCGTGGACCTTCCCCAGAGAGTGTCCAAGCTCATATCTTTATGGGAGCAGATGGCCTCATCTTTCTCCTCAGCAGCAGCTGCTGGGTTTGAACTCCCCTTTCCAGCCCAAACATGCAGCAGTGATTGGTGCTCAAAAACTCCACTTTCTTGTTTGGTTTTTAAATAGATGGAATTCCTGGTTGAGATAAAATCCTACTGAAGGTTAAACAAAGATCACCGATAATGAACTCAATGTGTATACTCACATATGTGTATCAAGAGAGGGATGTGTGTGTGGCCTGAGTGTGAGCACACACGCAATCTGTATACTGACAAAGTAAACTGATCTAGCAAAAGTGTGAACTATTTCGTTATCTTTGCAGGTTGTATTTTGGCCCAACGTCGAACAGGAGATGATGGTGTGAAGAGCTGAACAGAAGATTTCAAAGACTGGCTCTCAAAGAAATACGAACATAATGGAACACGTGAAGACCTGGAGTCAAAAAGCCAAAGAACCCACCTTGCTGGGCTGGAAGTAAAGAGGACTTGACATTCTTATTGATGAAGGTCAAAGACGACAGCCTTCAGTTTAGGTTTAGGCCTCACCATGGAGAAAACAAAAATCCTCACAACTGAGCCAAGAAGCAACATCGTAATAAATGGGGGGAAGACTGATCCGGTCCAGGATCTCTCAGAATCGACACCTAGGAAGACAGCTGTCAAGAGATCAAATGATTGTACTGCATTAGGCAAATCTGCCGCGTATTTTATGCTTTAAAAGGCAAAGATGTTACTGCTGGGACGAAGGTGCACCTGACCCAAGCTATGGTGTTTCCGATCTTTAAATGTATGCAAAAGCTGGACGATGAAAAACGAAGACCATTCAGAAGAACTCACTCGTCTGAATTAGAACGTCGGCAAAGAATTTTTAAAATACTGGGAACTGCCAGCAGACCAAGCAATTCTGTCTTGGAAGAAGTACAGCCGGAAAGCTCCCTAGAAGGGAGAATGGCGAGACCTGGTCCAGCTAACTTTTGACACATGATGAGGAAGGACCGATCCCTGCAGAAGGACATCATGCTTGGCAAAGCAGAGAGGGTCGCCAAAAAGAAGACCCTTCACAAGGTGGACTGATGCGGTGTCTGCAACCTTGGGTTCAAACACAGCGCAGACTGGAAGGCTGACACAGGACCAGGCTGTGTTTTGTTCTTTGCACAAAAGGCCACTCGCTATGCATTGGAACTGAGCTGACAGCACCTACCAAGAGCAACAACAACTGCTACATTTTGAAGTTTAAGTACCAGAGCTAATGTTTGACTTGTGTATTGTTCCCCAGTCCAGGCCCTATGAAGATAGATAGAACCCTGAGGAAATTGGCAGCATAGTGATTCTAACTGGACCCCACAGACCAGCACAGAAATCTGAAAAGCACACCCTCCTATAAATCGTACATAAAACCTATCCGTACAACAGGAAGTAGCTCTTATCAGGAGCCAATACTACACACCAGTGGCCAAGCCAACTCACCTAGGATAAACCAAGTTTCCGGTCTTACCCTCTGGAGTGAGGGCCCAGCAGGCCACTGGGTCCATCCGGACATCAGTATCCCTGGCCTAGCAAGACCAGCATGGAATGACACACAGAAGTTTTATAAATATTAGAATTGGTTGGTAAGCAAAACGAAAGTATAGGTAACTAATAGATTCTGTTTTGTAAGAAGTATGGCCAGGGTGCTCCTTAGAGGCAAAGTTGGCAAGACTTTGCCTTGTATACTTTGGACAGGAGAGACCAATCCCTGGAGAAGAGCATCACGCTTGGTAAAGCAGAGGGGCAGTGAAATGAGGAAGGCCTTCAAGGAGGTAGACTGATCCACTGGCTTCAACAATGGGCTCAAACCGTAGAACAACTGGGGAGATGGCACAGGCCCTGGCGGTGTTCCGTTCGGAGGTGCACGGGGGTCCCCGTGAATGGGAACCAACTCAATGACCCGTAACAGCAACAGCACCCGCACTTCCAACAAGGGTCAGCCAAATAGCTGTCCTCAGTGACTGGCACAAATTGCCCCCAAAGAGGTTTCGTTGGGAGTCAGTATCGACTCCACAGCAGCGAGTGTGTTGGGTTGGTTTGGTTTGCTTTGGGGCTGCATGAAAAACTACAGGCAGTTTTCTAAAAACTGGGAAACCTCACATAGAAATTCAAATTTCCAGCTCAATTTGAAAACCACAACAGAAAGACTGACGTCAGGAGAGCTAGGAACCACTCACTCAGCAGAAACCGAGCAATAAGCACGCCTTTGGGTTTGCCCCCGTCCCCACTGCTCCCCTTACCTCACACCCAACCTTTCCACTTCTGGTTTCGTGGGCCTAGCCCTGGTGGTGTAAGGGTTACGAGTTGGGCTGCTAACCACAGTCAGCAGTTCAAAACCGCCGGCACTCCGCAGGAGAAAAGAGGCGGCTTTCCACTCCCGTTAAGAGTTAGTCTTGGAAACCCACAGGAGCCGTTCTTCCCTACCCTGCATGTCGTCAGGGTTGGAATGGACTCAGCGGCAGTGAGTTTTTGAAGCCCCTATAAGGATCTGAGTCTGTGATCCCTGAGGGAGCTCTGATGGTGCCGTGGGATAGGCACTGAGCTGCTAACCACAAGGTCATAGGTTCAAACCTACCAGCCACTCACAGAGGGAGAAATGTGAGGCAGTCTGCTCCCATAAAGATTTGCAGTCGTAGAAGCCTTTTGGGTTTGCAAGCCTCAATCTTCCATGTTCACCCCATCTCACACTCACACACAAACACACACACACACAATTCTGGACTCTCGTGGCCGTAGGCCAGATGCAGATGCTCACAAGTGCCATGATGACAGAGAAACTTCCCTCCTCCTGAAAAGGGAGCACTTGGTGCTGGAGGGGAGAGACACCCTACCCCTCCATTCAAAGCTCTGAGAAGTGCACACAAAACCCCAACAAGTCCCTCCAGGCCCCTGCAGCAGCCCCTGCGTCTCCCTGGGGCTGCACAATCACAGAGAGCCAGGAAGAAAAGGTCCTCCCTCTGTGGGGTGGGCCAGCTGGCGAGGCATGGGGGAAGGGGGGCTGTTTCAGCCCCGCCTCCCCCTGCCCACTCCGTGAAGACACTCCCAGGTCCAGGTGCGCTCCCTGTCCACCTCACTATGTGAGTCCCACGGCAAGCTCTCCTTCCTAATCCCTCGTGAGGCCCTGGCTGAAAACCAGCTGTGCAGAGGGGTGTGCACAGGGTCTGACTTAGCTCATCTCTCTCCTTCGCTTCCTGTTAGTGGTACAGCCCAGGGCTTCTCGAACTTAGGCCGCCAGTGGCAGAAACGCCTGCGGAATTTGCTGAACACAGGTTCCCATACCACAACCCGAGTTTCCAATTTCCTGGTCTGCGGAGGGGG